GCGCAGGATTTGATTCATCTTGCCCGCTCACGGAGCTAGCCATATAATACTATTACTTACGATCTCGACGAACTCATGACAGAAGTGTGTATGAAAGAAGAGTTGATGCTAATAGAATATTTCCGAGTTGCTTTTCCTTCTGTGTCAAATCTAGTCTTCGTGCCAAACCATTATATGAAACCATCCTTTATATGAAAGAACCACAAACTGTTAATAAGTGTCAGCAACATGTGCAGGTGCAGTAAGAGAGAGTTAAAAAGCGACTTTTGTAAGAAAATATTACAGACAACAGATGCTAATTATCAACGCTTTACTGTGTCTATGTATTTTGCTTATCGTGCTCATGCGCAAAACCAGCCTTAATTTCATGGAGCGATAATCTTATGACATTTAATGAAGTCGCTTTAATTTCCGTGACAAAAATTTCATCGTTTTGGCTCTAAATTCAGAATTGTTTCCTAATGTATAGACAGCTTCCTTTGCTTGGTAAGTTCAATGTTTATTTTCTTTTTTTTTTTTTCAAGTTTCCACCGTTCTTTGTATGTCGAGTAATTTGACTGAATTCTGTTCTGTCTTGATTTGATCTTTAATTTTGTTTGATTTCCTCACAGAATGACATTTCTTTACACTATTCGCATTAAAATACCTTTTTCAACAAATATTTCTGCCTTATTCTTGTTAACTTCCTTAATTTTGGACAATTTTATCTTTCTAGTTGCGCTAATCTAAGTCGCGTTAATTGAAAATTCATCACTTAAGCGGGCAGGAAAGTTAATTCACTAATAACAGGTAACTAGGGAAATTTGGAAATCTCCATCATAATAAATGATTGTGAATAAATAATGAATTTAGCTTTCATTTTTGATCGGCGCTACGCAACACGATAAATAACTGTAAATAAATAGCTTTTTCCATGAGCAGAGTTACGTTTTGGTGACGGGAAACTTAAACAAGCCAAAGAATGTTTATCTAAGACACAAATACACCAGGTTGGTAACAACTACAAATAAGTGATAAAGTTTGGGCTAGATTACGAAAGGTAAATTTGAAATATCTAATCAAATTACATCATCAAAGCGCTTTCGATTATTTTGCTTTGAAAGTTTGAAATTTGTTTCATAAATATTTTCAGGAACTGAATAACAAATGTGTGTTATACAATGGGATGCTCTGCCTCGTTTCATCATCGTGATTCTTCAGGAAGTTTACCGGCGTTAACATCGAAAACTGATTCTGTCCCATTATCTTGCAAGACCAAGGACACTTTAAAAGAGTCTTGGAAACTTGTTGAACCAGTTAAAAACGAAGCAGGAAAATTGATGTTTGTAAGGTAAGCATTAGTGATTTAGACCCAGGTGAACTGAACGCCGAATTTCACATGAGAAGAAAGTGCAATTTGAGTCGATACAGACGGGTAAAGTTCGACCGTAAGGTCAAACGTCGATAGAACGTGTTGGTCGATCTAAATTCAGTCGGACGAACTCAGTTGAGTCAAACGTCGAACTTATCATGAACTTATAATTCGCTCAGTTTAGTTCATCTCATGTGAAGTACGACGTTTGACCTGGGTCTTGATTACCTTTCTTAGCTTATTTCTGTGCATTCCTTATAATTTTGGTTCTGAGAATCTTCTTTATGTGGTTTATAAAATTCCTTGTGCCAACTTTCCTTGAAGCTGTTTTGACGCAACTGGAAGTTGTTTCTCTACGAGGAAAAAAGAACACATCCGGAACGTAAAATATGCGAAAAGGTTCCAATATTTCAGCCCGTAAATGTTCCAAAAAGCGTTCTATTGACTTTGAAGTTGCTAGTGTAATTAACAAAGAAAACTTTCGAGTTCGAAAAACTTAAGAATCATGGCAGGTTGCAAATACTAAGCAGACAATAACTCTAAACCGTTGCCAAAACAATACTCTATTTTAAATTAGTCTCTTATTTAAACGTTTTTACATTTTTCACACATTCTTTTCGCATACATTTTTCATCTCGCGCTTTTACATTATAGTTTTGAAAGGATTCAGACTGAAAGCTGAACGCCCACGTTCTAAAATTCTTAACCAAAAAAACGTTTTCGCTCAAAATGAGAATCATCGTCACGTTTCCACAAAAAAATTGTAGTAAAACCCACTTGACGCAAGAAAAATTACGATTAAAATTTTTTTTTTTCTTTCTCGGGATTTTTCTAAAGTTGAAAATGATTTTAAATCGACGCTTAACAGGCCGTCTTCAGGAAATTAAGAAAATCAAAATCAATATGGCAGAGTGCTGTTTTTGCTTCGCAACTGCACCTTGAGTCATATCGTGACAGTTATACGTGAATCTTCAAACGTCATGGTAAAAATGCGCGGGAAAATACACCTGAAGACAAATCGGGAACATTATATGAATGCATTTAAGTAAGAAAAAACCACGATCCTTCTTATGATCCTTCTCAAACCAGCTAAAAAAAAGCAAACAACTTTTTTGCAATGAGAGGTGAACGTTCTCGAGATCTCGAACATCCCAGCCCAATTCTTTTTTAATAGATGTAGCAGCTGCAAAGGTGGCAGGATTGCAAAACGCTGTAAAACCACAGTTTATCTCTAAGAAAACATCCCAGACTTCCTTTTCTCCTTTTCCACTGCTGCTGTAACAACTTCCATTGCGTCAAGATCAGATTTAATATGTTTTTCATCAAAAAAATACGTTGATTTATCTTCAGGCTTTTTGAGACTCACCCAAATATCCAAGACACCTTTCCAACATTCAAGGGCGTCAGTTTAGACGAACTCATGAACTCCCGTTCACTGTATCTTCACGCCAGTCGAGTCATGGCTGCGGTGGAAAGCACCATCTCTGCACTGGATGATGCTGAGGTGTTGGTAGAGAGTCTCACGAACTTGGGACGAAGACATCGGCCTTGGTCGATCAGGGAGGAACATTTTAAGGTAATATGTAACAGAGATTTCGAACGTGTCAGCTAAAAAGGAGGGAAACTGTTGGCCCAAAACCAAGTTTGAAACATTTTGGTTATTTCCATACGTCTTTCATTATTTAGCTAATCGTGAAATATGGAGTTGAACGCAAAAGATCCCTCATTACCAAAATAACAACTATATATCTACTATATAAACAGTGCGGAAATTAAAATGTTTTCAACGACTTTCACACAATTTCCCGGAACTATTTTCCCGAAGAACTGAAGAACTGTAGAGGGAGAGAGGCAGAAGATGGGTTTTGCCACTTAGAATGAAGCTGTCGCCGCGGCGAGAGCCAGAGCAGATTGGAGGAGACGAGTCAATGGCCCCATTCTCCCAGAGGAGAGCTAGGACTGATGATGATGACGATGGTGATAATTTCCCGAAGATCACCGACGTCAGAGACGACCGAAAGTCAGGCGAAAGTTCACGAACATTTCCTCAAAATATTAACAGGTGTGACATAATCACACCTCAAGTTATGATAACTAAAATTTAATTTCAATAATTTATCGTGTCCAATTGTGATTTTCTCCGTGATCTGGGAAAATTACAGAAATGAAGTTTCTTTTTCGTTTCTCAGGTTGTTGGCGAAGCTCTGTTGTGGACATTACAGGACATGCTCAAA